GATGATTATTATAGTATTCACACTATAAAAATACCTATTACAACTACAACATCTGCTCTAGTACATCTCGTCACTATCATTCCTTGTGGCCACAATGTAGATTATCATCCTCTTTCATTAACAGAAATGAGTATGACTTTTTACCAATTTTTGCCAAATTACCCAAAGATTCAAAAGTTGTATCGAAAATCATGAATTTCACTATGAAAATAATAAAGGATTTAATGCAGGAAAAAGTGAATTTAATGAAAGATTTAATGAAAAAAAAAAAATGTGAAAAATTGGATTTAATAAAAAAAAAAGAACATAAAAAATTAGATTTAATGGAAAAAATAGAACGTGAAAAATTGGATTTAATAAAAGATTTAATACAGAAAAAAATGAAACTATCAAAACATATTACGAATCTTGAGAATGATATTAGGATATGTAATATGAGAGGTGCTTTAGAGTTCATTAGATCAATGGTAACATTCTTTATGTATTTTGCAATGATTTTATCATATTTTGTTTATATATTTTTCTCTTAATAGATTCAGTCACAAGACAAAACTATCTTATTTCGCGAACCTACAGACAATATTTTGATGAGACTGACTCAAGATGCAAAGTTTATATCATATTTAAAGCAAACATGCTTACTTAATAATTCTCAATACAAAGATGTTGAAAGATGTATAGGTGGTCTCTATCATACTGCATCAAAAAAATTGCACGGTCATGACAAAGATATTGAAATTGATACGTGGGACTGGAGTGTGAATAAAGTATTAGTATTAGGTGTTCTTCTTCATTATTATAATATTTCGTACTTTTATTATGATAACCAGGAGGGAATTAGCTGAATACTTTTACAAGTTAGCTGAATATCCTTAGAATAGTTCCGATAAGAGATCTTTTATAATATTAGAAAATTTTTTATGATTTCTTTTTAAAGCATATGCTATATAAGAATAAGATTTGCTTTTAGATTTCTACTTTGCTATAATTTTAAATTTTTAAATTTAAACATGATAAATAAATGTAACACAAAACTCCAAGTGAACGATGATGTAATAGCCAACTGGTTATCAAGCTATGACACTGTGTCAACACATATTCCTGTTGTCTGTGCCTTCTTAAATAATATGAAAAACACAATCTTTGTTATTTGAATGACTTGCACTTCTCATTCCTTGAATCACTTAAATGTGTTAAATATATTTTTTGCCCATTGTAACAGTTAAAATTAGTGTCACCTTTTCAAAATCGGGCTGTGTTTGGCCATCTTTTTCTATTTTTAGTATATATTCTTTATTGTTTGTATATTTTTAGTCATAATGTTAGTGAATTTCCTAGATAGAATAGTAAGAGAAATAAGCAGAGTAAGCAAAGTAAAAAAGTAAGCAAAGTAAGAGAGTGAATTCGCTTACTTTTATTCTATAAAATTCACTATATAAGAGCCTCTTGCTCATCTTGAATAAAAATTAGCTTAGTTGAGTTTAAAAACTTTAAAATTATTGTAGTAAAAGTTGTTCTTTTAAATATTGTTCTTTCTAATCCCAAAACGGTCCTAGTAAACTAGTGATTGGAAAAAATTTGTTTGATTGGCTAATTTTATATAGATTATTTGTAGATCACAAGTTGTTTTGTAAAATATGATTGGTCAATTAATAAATTATAAAATTCAAAATTACTACGAAAATTAATTAATTATTATCTGAAGTGTAGCTGAGGACACTATACTTCTAGACATTAGAAATCTGTTAGATTACATGATAGATGTCTGTCACGCTGCGTAATTAGCCAATAAAAATTAGTACTACATACAATAACGTGTTAGATTATTTACAATATTTATAATGCTTCTTTAATATATTATATAAGAATACCCTACTTCCAATAATCATTTACACAAAACTTTACTAAGATAACTTTAAACATTTATTAAGTAACCAGATTAAGCATATCTCAGAGCACTTGGATTTCAATTTTTATGAAAAAATATTGAAAATTCATAGAGATATCAATGATTTTATAAAAAGAAGTATTCAACATTTTTGCAATTTTTTTTTAAACTTTGATAACTTCTGAAAGATATTTCTTAAAATGAAATATAAAAAACTCTATTAAGTAAGCTAATAGGGTAGATATTCAAGAGTCTCTAGTTAAAATTTTAGCTCATTTGGTCAAAATCTGATGGAATAACAGTGATTTTTCATTTTGCTTCTATAGACATTCTAAAATTTGATAAAATCAAAGATGGTTTCACACTTGATTTTTTTTAACTTAATTATTAATATTTATTGAAATTTTACATGCAAATAAAAGATGGTCATACAATTTTTTCTGTAAAGTTTGACAGATTTTGAACAAGAACTGACAGAGTTATTAGAATTTTTTATTTGTTTCTTGTATAAAAATTTCTTTTCTTATATGTTTTACATTAGTAAAATATTTTTTGGTCAAAGTAAATATACAATAAGAGCTTAATAAAGTTAGTAGTAATAAGTTTTAAGAGTTTGTCTGTAAAATTTTATGTAAAATGAATGAATATTCATAAAATTAGCCCAAATTTTGATGAAGTAATTTTTATTACTCTATACTAGATCTGACAATAACTTTAATTATAAATATTTTTTTTATTAAATTAATAGCTCAATTTGAATGATCTAACCTTCTTTAAAATGGTCTTACTAAGATATACAACTTTTAATTAATTGATCTGGCCCAGTAGATACTATGATATTGTCAAAAAACAATTGGCTAACTATATAAAATTTTGTATAAACAATTATTATATATGCATTTATATAGAAATTTTATATAGTTAACCAATCATTTTTTGAAAATATATTGGCATTTACTGGGCTATTTTGAATGATCTAATCTCCTTTATAATAGTCTTACTAAGCTCTACAACTTTTAATTAATTTATCTAGATTATTGTTATTTTTTTTTTCGGTGTTAAGGTAACCTCTATAGCCAGGGGCTTTTTATTAGATAATTAACAACATTTACAATTATGACGAGGGTACAACTAGCCACACATATAACTTTTGATTATCTATTTTAAGTGGTCTGCCTGAGTTCTACACTAGCCGCCATGCCTGCAATCTAACTAGGAGATTACCTATTTA